ACCTCACGCTGAAACTACAGGCAGCTTATTTAGATGAAGGCATGAGTGATTGGATGATCGCTCATTATCACGCATTGTAACAAGTTGAACTCAAGTTAGTGTGTCATTGGATAGTCATGGAGGTAGGCGTGCTGTAGAAGTGTACAACAATCTGAGAACCAGCCCACATTTTGGTCTGGTCAGCTAAAACTAGCAAAATAAATAAATAATAATAACCGGCCAAAAGACCAGCATATGGAAGCCCGTTTCCGCCACTGAATAAAAAATAAAAAAAAGGTAAGTGCGACTTTTTATCTCACAATTCTGACTTTTTTTCACAGAATTGTGAGATATAAACTCGCAATTGCGAGTTATAAAGTCAGAATTGCGAGTTTGTATCACGCAATTCTGAGAAAAAAAGTCAGAATTGTGAGATAAAAAGTCGCAATTAGGCTACCTCTTTTATTTTTTATTCAGTGGCGGAAACGGGCTTCCATAGAAACGGGCTTCCATATTATCTGCTGAAGGACATTTGCCTGCCTTTGTTTGGTTATGTCCACACCACATATTGTTAGCTGTAGGTTACTCTCGTCTTCCATACAATTCAAAGATATTTTCGCCGAATTGCACACAGATTGCCATAATAAAACTTACTTTAATTAAAGTAAACTACAAAAGTAAACAAATATCCTAAAGGCATTCCTTTCTGAATGTATAGGCTATTATTATTTTTCCTCATCTCTCTTTGGATGTGTCATTGTGCAAACAGTGCACCGCACCTAAGTCTTAAACTAACTCAAGAGTTTACAAGATTTAGTCATAATAGTTAACTTTTAACCTGCGTCACTGTGACACACGCACGCAAAGCGGGATTAACTGAGAGGAACCTAATTATTTACATTACCATATCTGAATATGAGCATCGTGTTGATATGTCACCTACTGTTTGTTGCTTTATTTAACCTGGAAGAAACAAGAGGATAACCATTGCGGCTAGTGAAATATAAAATATAAAAAAAGGATGACAGTGTCGTATACCAACAATGGCCACATGATGGCAGCATTATTACAGTAAAATTAAGAGCGCATGCGCTTGAGCAGATGGCGCAAATCTCTTTTGAGATGCTAGTGCTACATTGAAAAAATGTAAGAAGGGAGAGTAATATTTCTAATTTCCATACAAATCAACCTATGAGAAGAGAACCTATAAAACCATAAGGATGCATAAAATGTATCAGCTGACCCCTTGAGTGGTAGTGGTTGGCTATAGTGACATCAACTTACACACACTCTGACACATTTTATGGAGACATTCTATAGGCGTAATGATTTTTATACTGTATTTTATAAACATATCCCCTCACAGAAAACTCTGCATTTTTACATTTAAAAAAAAAAAAAAAAAATTATTTATAAATTATTGGTGTTACTATCCTTGTTGGTCCCTATAACATAGGGAATAACACACACACACACACACACACACACATTGGGTTTCCATGTTTCATGGGGACATTCCATAGACATAATGATTTTTATACTGTACAAACTGTATTTTCTATCCCCTTTCCCTACCCCTAAACCTACCCCTCACACAAAACTCTCTCAATTTTTAAATTTTTCACTTAGTAGCTATGATTTGTAAGTTGTTTTCCTCTTGGGGACCAAAAAATGTGAATTTAAGATATTTCCATTTTTGTGGGGACATTTTGTCCCCATAACGTGGGATATACTGTACCTGAACCATACACAACTGGTCAAAATTTGAAATAATTAGAATTTAAATTAAAAAAAAAAGTATCTTATGCTCAGCAAGGCTGAATTTATTTAATTAAAATACAGTAAAAACAGTAATATTATTATATTTAATATTGTTACAATTTAAATAACTGTTTTATTGTAAGATGTAATTCATTGTGATGGCATACTGGCATACTGTGATGGCAAAGCTGAACTTTCAGCTGCCATTTCTCCAGTCTTCAGTGTAACATGATCCTTCAGAATCTTCTTCTTATTAATAATAATTAATATTTTTTCCTGCTTAATATTTTTGTGGAAATACTTATATAGTACCATTCAAAAGTTTGGCGTTGGTAAGAAAAAAACAACAACAACTTTTCCCCATTCTTCAAGGACACATTAAATTGATCAAAAGTCACAGTAAAGACATTTATAATGTTACAAAAGATTCCCATTTCAAATAAATACTTTTGAACATTGCTTTTGAAAGCTGCAAAAACTGATTTCAACATTAATAAGGATGATTGTTAATTATTGAGCACAAATAAATAATAATTGAGCCACCAAAGAATGATTTCTGAAGGATCATATGACGCTGAAGACTTAAGTAATGGCTGCTGAAAATTCAGCTTTGCCATCACAGGAATAAATCACATTTTAAAATGTATTAAAACAGAATACAGTTATAACAATAATGTCACAATATTATTGTTTTTACTATATATTTCATTAAATAAATGCAGCCTCGCATTTATAGGACTCCTTTTAAAAATCTTAATTAGTCCAAACTTTTGACCAGCAGTGTGTGTGTGTAATAGTTCTATGCCACTGCAAGTTTCACAACTGTAACTGTAATTGACCCAAATAATGTTGAATCAGTACAAACCAGTGGTTTTATTTCTTTTATTTAAAAAATTAAAATTAAAGTGCTTTTATGTACAATATAATAAAAACAACAAAACAGTAGTGATGTATAATACAAAAAATACATTTCACAACAGTTTTTTTTATCTTTACATTGGCAGCAAAATGTACAAATACACCTTTACATTAAAGTTTACAAGACATTAACTTACAATAGGTCAGAGCATCTTGGTGTGCCATTATAAAGAATGTATCTGAGCATTTAAGAGTGTAGCAGACCACTACAGTCCAGTAACTCTTATGTCTGAGTCAGTTCAGCACTGAAATATATATACGTGACTAAATCTACCGCTTGTAGGTAGCAGCTGATGTACAGTGAAGTTTTCACATTGTCTACTCTGTAAAACGGCACGCTAGTGATAATAATCAGATGATGTACTGAAAAACGTAAGCAAATTTGCTTACATTTAAAATTATTTTTGCATGATATTTTGAAAGTGATTTTCAAACAGAGGTCTGAGTATATGTAAAACAGTTATATCATTATTACAAATACATTGTTTTTTTTGTCTTCTTTTTTTGTGCTTTAAATATAGTCGGTAAGTGTTTTGTGTGTGTGAATATATATATATATATTAGGGGACCTCTGTAGATATTAATTAGCACAGTGGAGACATACCCTTGCAGTGGACTGTTGCACAGACGACCATTCAATATACAGTGGTTTGCGACTTTACATGTACTATAGGTAATTCTACTGTGTAGTCCACCAGAGCAGACATGCATGTGAGGTTTGCTTTTCGTTCACGCGTTTGAATCACAAAAAGGCTACAAGATTACATTTGTTTTCCCGCATACCCTTTGAGTCACAAAATCTAGCTCGGAGGCATTAACAAAACCATTCAGTTGGTACTTGCTACAGCAATGTCAAGAGAACATTCATTCCCAGGCATTTTCATTTGAACCATTTCCACATTCTGTGCAAATATAAGAGGAAAAAAAGAATTGTAATGCATTCTGTAAAAAAAAAAAAAGCAATGTCAAATGTCAAAAACATTAAAAGCCATTCACTACTTCCCCTTACAAATACAATTATACAACTTTGTGATCAAAGTCATTGTCCATCAGATCATGTAAAAGTAAATGTCCACAAATTCAAATAAGACACAATATTTCTATTGAAAGAATCATTTGGAACACTTTCAATCAATACATAACTACATTCACAATACAGATGTCTGTGTGATCTTTAAAGATCAATGGCGATGAAATATTACACACATTTGTGGTGCAATATACAATGCTTGTCTTTGGGAATTTTACTGGAAATATGTTGATACTGGAAATAGACATTTTTTATTTTCTTTTTTTGTTTGTGCTGTTAATATACATTTTTACATTGATCCTTATGTTGATTCTATGCTATAGTAACTTACATTTGTGTCTTGTTTTGTGGTTTCCATCCCCATTGCTTAGCAGCAGCCAAGTACTGTACTTTTTTCTATGACACTCTTGGCAGCTGACGATTTATAACGGGCTGTTTCATATACATATACGTCATTGCTCCCACCCAAAAACATCTGTTAGCCTGCTTTGACTTAAGGTGTTACAGTGAACATGGCACTTTTTCATGGAAAAAAAAATCTGCTGGTCACTTTACACTCTTCGGGAGCATAGATCTCAAAGCTTAGCGTAAAATTGGCATGTAAAGCCTTAACCACACTTTTCATTCTGTCCGAATGCAAATTCATAATTCGAATTTACAACATGGCAATAAATGTCTTTAATCTGAACAAAGTACACTTTCGAGTCAAGAGAACAAAGTTCTTGACAGATCCAAAGAGATCTGAAATGGTTCACTAAAAGTTTTTGGCACAACAACCAATTTGAATCAGTAAACAATCTCGAGACGTTTGGTCATTTCCATTTACTGTATTATGCACTACTTCAAGGTCAGCTGAAATTGAAAACTGTCATCATTTACTCACTCTCATATTGTTCCAAACCTGTATGACCTTTTTTTCTTCTGTGGAACACAAATAGATATATTTTGAAAAATGTTTCTGCTGTTTGTGTCCAAGTGGGGTCGAAAACAACACTAGAAGCCATTGACTTTCATTTGACATTTGTAGGGTGAGTAAATTATGACATAATTTTCATTTGTGCATGAACTATCCCTTTAAATCAGTGGTTCTCAAAATGACTTCAAACAATTAAAAATAAGACAAATTAAACATTAAAATAAGTCAAACAAACGAACCATCAAGTTATTTCTATTTCAAATCACCTCCTTTGTCTTTGAAGAACCAGAATTCCAAAACCTTAGACATATGAGAAAGCCTCATTTCATTTTCTAGATTTCTAGACCTGGAAAGGTCGTGTAATTTAATTAAAACTCCATGGGCGTTTTTCTATTGAATATACAGTATTTTATCAGGTAGAAATTGTGAGTAGTAAATAATGGACAACTGGAAAAGTCATGGGCTCCTCAAATGATCTTGTGGACTATGAGGGGCTTTGGAGTCAAAAAGGTTGAGAACCACTGGTTTAAATGGTCTATCACTGGTAGCAACTGATTTTGGTTGGGGGTATAAGGAACATAGAGATATTCAAATTCCTGCGTCTTCAGAATGTAATTTGTGCCTTAGACATACTCATAGTATTGCTAACATGCCTTCTTTGGAGTTCTCTACACACTGCGGGCTCTTTATATGCCTCAATCTTGCATACTTTATTTAACGTGTGTACCTCTGAGAAGCTGTGTAGAATACTGAGGTCGTGGCATCACTTATTGTTCTAGGACAGCCGTGTGCTGTTTGTTAGCTCTCTACAAGATGCTTCTCCTTTATGTGATTTGCATAGTATGCCTGCTATGTGCTGAGGTCGTGATGATATACTGTGCAAAGGTTTTGCATATATCATCAAAGCTTTTGATGCACCACTACGCCTTATATTGTGTTGAAATGTCAGCTAATCATCTCACTTCAGGCACTATGTTTAGCAGAGACTCTATTGTTGACTAAAGTTTGAATTTTCGTCTTCTCGTTCACAGGATGAGCACCTCTACGCGGCAGGGATGAGATGGGAGCATGACAGTTTAGTGAACCCTGAGGGCATCGTATTGCTTTCACACAGATGCCACCAGACATTTTTGGACGGACCGGGTGGGACGACTGGATCGGCATGCCTCGCAATGCCCACTATTCTTTTTCAATGTGTACTCTAGGCCATGCGTCCCACTCAGCGTGGCTCTGGGTGCTTCACAGACTTGGCAGTGACTGAGAAATGTGAACAGATCACCAAGACAAAATGAGAGGAGACAAAGTGCAAAATAAAGCCCAGTGATGGTACGTTTCCAGTCATTTTCAGTCTGTCCCTCCCTTGGTGCTGTTCAGTTCAGAGGCCACTTTTTTTAACAGTCATCCCAAACAGACTTAAACGATCGAGTCTTTGATCTCCGAGCCCAGTCGCACTCGAGGCTGCGGGCAAGTCGGTGAGATCTCAACGTGGCTCTCCTTTAAGTTCAAAGGTCTGTTTTCGGATTCTGAGAAGCTCTTGCTGTTTTCAGGTGAGGAGCATTCGTGGGTGGGAGTGCTGCAGATGTAGTTATCATTGAGCGTCTGGTAGCCCTTGTGGTCAGACACAGAGGGCGGGATGTTGTTGCCATTTAATGGAAGGCTTTCCGTGTGCTTCCCCGGAATTCGCGGTTTCTTCTGTTGCATATTGGGGCACTCGCCTTCCTTCAGCATGGACTTCATCCTGTCTCGGTTCCTGTATGCCACGAACAGCGACAGGACCAACAGGGAAAACACGAGTAAGGCACACACAACGATCAACTCATTCCAGTATGTTTTAGTTTTTTCCGGCGACCATGTTTCCCCGGGCAAGATAATCGCTTCCCCTTGGGGTACCAACTGCGTTCGGGAACGTCCAGTCAGAGTGGTGCTTTCGTGATCCGCTTTGACACAATAATTGGCCAGAAGTTGTCGGTAGCCACCTTCTTCTGACCAACATTGGTAGATCTCCTCCCTCTCCACTTGGGCTACAACTACCAGCCCACCGTCAGGACTAGGATAGACGAATCGCTCGGCGGTGTGACTGTACTCCCATCGCCTCTCAGCCAAGTTAGATCGCAGCTTGCAGGGAAGAACCGTAAATGTGTTGGCTGGTATTTGTACCACATGGCATGATGGAACACCTGTGGGTTAGATGGTCTTATTAGTTACTAGTAAATCAAATATTTATCTCCCATATTAGCAAAGCACCACTCAACCACTTCAATTGCTTAGAGTCTATCAGAGCGCATTGCCGGAGGCGCTATGTAAATGCGTTTGGTCATGCCACATGCCACAGTGCTTTTGTAACTGTAACAGCTTGTCTTAACCTCATGCACTCTACAGCACTTTGTGGTTTGTTGGAAATAAGTTCTTCAAATATTGATTCATATGGGGGTTAGGTATTGTAAAGCATGGCTGTTACTCACGTGGTGGAGTTGGTTTTGCAGAACGAGGGCTAGCCATTGTCATTTTGCATACTGCAGTGTTGGCGTCATCTACATCTTGTTGCCATTGACTATAAAGAAAAGAGCAGGGGTAAGATGAAAATTCAATTCATCTGTTCAAGTCTGGGGTCAGTAAGATTTTTATTTATTTATTAATTTAATTTTGAAAGAAATTAACACTTAGCAAGGACAAATTAAATTGATAAAAATTGACTAATATATATATATATATATATATATGTATGTTACAAAAGATTTCTAATTTTATTAAATGCTGATCTTTTGAAGTTTGTATTATAAGAATCCTAAAAAATATGTATCATGGTTATAGAGCAGCAAAAACTGTTTTCAACATTGATAATAAGAAGTGTTTACCAAATCAGTATTATAAAGATTTCTGAAGTATCTGAAATACATCTGACACTGAAGACTGATACACATACATATACTGATACATATACATATAAGTCATGTGGTGCAAAGAACAGGAAATTATGTCATTGAGCATTATGAAGCATCCTTGCAAACCCTCATGAATGTGTGTCAAGGTCAATAAGTCCAGTCATAAGGGTCCATTTTTTTGAAATTGAGATGTATACATCAAATAAGCTTTCCATTGATGTATGGTTTGTTAGGATAGGACAATATTTGGCCGAGATACAACTATTTGAAAATCTGGAATCTGAGGGTGCAAAAAAATTAGCATTTTTTGATTAGCAATGCATATTACTAATCAAAAATGAAGTTTTGATATATTTACGGTAGGAAATTTACAAAATATAAAATCTAGCTTTATTCGCATTGGCCCATGAAAACCTCTATGAACACACTTGACTTGACTTGGATAAAAAACCGCGGGGGACGAATTTACGTTTTATTAAAAAGTGTTTACGCATACACTCATGGCGCGCAGCCGCGCACACACATTAGGATAGGTTAGATTCCTGCCTCCTATACTTTGTTTTATGGAAAGGTGCTTTTTATTTCAGGTCTTTTGAACCGAAGCACTGCAACACCCGCTGAGTGCAACGATAGAGCTCGAAAGATCAAAGACAATTTTTAATATAACTCCGACAGGATTCGTCTGAAAGAAGAAAGTCATATACACCTAGGATGCATCGGGGGTGAGTAAAACACAGCCTAATTTTCATTTTTGGATGAACTAACCCTTTAAGACTGGGTTTGTGGTCCAGGGTCACATTTGTCAAAGAAGTTTAGCCCAGGTTGTAAAATGTCAAAAACGTAATGATGCTTATGAATAATCAATTAATGATATTAAAAAACTATTCTTTTAAAATATATTTAAAAACTTTTTAAAAAATAATGATACACTCAAATGTAAGGAAAATATATATTTTTTAAATTGTTTGTCTTTTTATGGTTACACCACAGCGTACCATATAGTTCTAGAATTCATTCGTGTTTTGTGAAACAAATCTACATGTATATGCTAATGTTTGAAACTTGCAATTTAATACAGGTTTAAACTTCTTAATGTACAAATTGAAGTGCAATAGTTGGATGCGAGAGCAAGTAATGGAAATGTACTAACCTCTTAGTTGGCGCATATTTGATATTTGAACACTGCTTCCCTGTCCAGGCACAGTAAGGATCTCTAGACAGCACACACTCTCCACAGCTCTGGTAGTTGGAGCAGTTGGCAAGAGGGATTTCAACCAGCCCAGAATAGCTGGACACAAACAAAAGCCCCTGTTGGAAATGCAAACACAACAGAAATAAGACACCTTCTCAGGACGGCCGCTCCTTAGGACAACCTATCTACAGAACTTATGTAGAAAGCCGCTTGGTATGCATACAGTAAATGTTAATACATGATAATTGCACTGACAGTGGTAATAAACCTTTTTAAAATAGTTCTTATGGTGTAACACATACAGATAAAGTATAGACTGAGTAGTGTACAGAAAGAGCAGACGCTGTTTGTTTCCCATCTGTTCACAGTTCCTCAGAGAGGAAACAGGGATGCAATTATCTCCCTTCCAGGCCTCACTATCGCAACGGCTGAAGGGTCCCTTTGCCTGCCACGCTGTCATTTCACTAATGCATTACGTTCTCAAGTGCGCATAACAAATGCAAAGAAGATGAGTTTAAGAGTAAACTGAAGTACCTTCTCATCATCCAGTTCGATGTGTTGTACAGACTGAGGCTCGGGAAAAATCGCCAGCTCTTCAATGATATACATCTTGTTCTTAACGTTGATGGCTTTGTGGATCCTGCCATCATCTGAAAAATAACACAGTTATTTGTGAGACGATGTACTCAAGGGCCTGGGCCATTTTGATAACAGGTAGCATAACATTAAGTATATTGCAAGTTGTGACAAGTGGAAAGTGGCTAGTTGCCATACAATATCGCTGGGAAAATCATCCTAACTAAAGGAAGCTAACTCATGAGACTAAAAATAAGTAGCTAGTCAAAACTCTTACAAATGGATTAGCACAACAAGGGATATTTGTTACTTCACAGATTTCTTTCCACCACACCCCCAACCCTCAGAAAAAAAGGCCTAAATTTGAGACACACAAAATCATGGCATAGTCTATTATTAACTATTTGCATTTTTTTTTCAATAATCATACATTCAAAATGAAACCTTTAATTGTGAAAATAATATTTTTTTGTTTTCATTTAAAACCCACTGAATATGATTAAAATATGCCTAGCTGTGGAACAAGCAGTATTCAATTAGAAAATGTATGAGACTGAAAGAAATTGGATTTATAGATGATAAATAAAATGGTTATTGTTAAGTTAAACCCCATTTTGTTTATTAGTACTATTACGGAAGTCTTACCTGTTTAATTTATGTATGACTGATAAATATGCATCTTATTAGTTTGTTATAACTGTGTAATCCAAATGGATGGAAATTTCATACATAAATCTTACATTTAGGCCTAAATATTTTTTCCCCAGTGAAGTCTCATAGTTGAAATCAGCCCAAATTTTCATGGATCCACTCTGTGTTGAAACACAGCTTGTTTAAAAGGATAGTACACCCAAAAATTTAAATTGCTATCATTTACTCGCCCTCAAGTTGTTCCAAACCTGTATGAGTTTCTTTCTTCTGTGGAACACAAAAGAACAAGATATTTTGAAGAATGTTGGTAAGCAAACAGTCACTGGTTCCTATTGACTTCCATAGTATAAAAAAAAATACTATAGAAGTCATGGGACCAGACACTGTTTGGTTACCCACATTCTTCAAAAGATCTTCTTTTATGTTCAGCAGAAAAAAATAAATTCATACTGGTTTGAACAACTTGAGGAAGACTAAATGACGACAGCTTTTTCATTTTTGGGTGTACTATCCCTTTAATTACGCAACCTGTAGTTACACACCTGCGTGAATGTCTAAAGTAAAAGATAAAGTCATGTTGCTTGATATTAAGTCTTGATTTCTCAAGTCTAAAATCCCTTAGTTCAATCCTAATGGGGACTGGAGCAAGAATGAAAGAGCCTTTAATGCAGGAATATTAGTATAAATCAGATTTGCTCTGGTGTAAGCTGCTAAACAAAAAAAGCTAATTTGATCTTGATCTGGCACAGTTTCACTGAGATTGTATTAGGTCAAGCCTACTCTAGTTTTACTGAGAATGCTGAGCTTTACATGCATACTATGTGGTGGTCTAAGTTCTCACCCGTGCCGATGAAGAGCACGTCGTATGTCTTGAGGAGAGCCTGCACTCTGTGCACAGCGAGCTGCGTGTAGCGCACATTTTGTTTGAGCAGCAGAGGCTGGCTGCGGATCACGCTATCCATGAGGAAGTGGTCCTTCACAAAGTTCAGCACTTTATCAGGCATGTGCAGGGAGGAGGAGATCCCTTGGGCGCGGGCCGTGTTGGTGATGCACTGCAGGAAGATGGAAAAAGACGCCTCAGAAACACTGCACAATATCTGTGTGGCAGCCAAAATCAATGTAATTTTCAACAAAAACACCAATGTTAAGTCAGATTGAAAGTGTGATTAAAAAGATCTTGTACTCAGATATCCTGAACTCACGGTCGAACAAGTTTTGGTCTAGATGCTGTCTGAGAATTAAACTTGGTAGCTAGAACTTGCATGCGAAATTCTCATTACAGCCAATCACCAATGTATAAGATGTTCTATATACAAGTCACTGTGAAATCAAAATGGACAATTCTTGTTTTTTTATGCAGTGTTTATTAGAAACTCTTCTCTGATGTCATTGTCACTGTCGTGAAGAGGGGGGCAATAATTCCTCCATTCCAGCGACCCGTCACTCACGTGAGATCGCTGCAATTACCAAATGACAACCATCCTATCAATTCCCATTTCATAAAAAAATGCAGGCCCGTCCTACAATTACACAAGTGATGTTTTTTTTTTACTTTTACTTAGCTTTATTTGCATTTTTATAATTGTACAGGTGCATCTCAATAAATTAGAATGTCGTGGAAAAGTTCATTTATTTCAGTAATTCAACTCAAATTGTGAAACTCGTGTATATTTGCACTTATATAATATTAAAAATTTTTGTTAGTGTATATATTTAGTATTTAATAATTGATTAATATTGTATTTAATAAATTAATTTTTGTGGACTAGAGCAACACTTATTTTCCCAGAATGTACAGTACATCCTCAAATTTTTTTTAATTGCAGGTCAGTAAATCACAGTTCCTGTCATTCCAATTCTAATTCCACTTCCTGTGGGATGTGACCAATTTGATTCGAATTCGAGTCGAATTTTGCACAACCCTGTGTCTGGCCATTGTTTTGTGTCTAGTGCTGCTTTGTGTTTCTTGTCTTAAAATGTTCACCAAAAAATTTCTGTCATCATTTACTCATTCTCATTTCTTTCAAACCTGAGTTTCTTTCAGCTCCCATTGACTTCCAATGTATTTTTTTGTCCATACAATGGAATTCAGTGGGAATGGAAACTCTTTAATTACCAACATTCTTCAAAATATCTCCTTTGTGTTCAACTGAATAAAGAGAGTCATACAGATTTGAAATGACTTGAGGGTGAGTAAATAATGACAGACCTTGTTTTGTTTTTTGAGTGAACTAACCTTTACTAACCTGAACTAACATTGCACTTTTGTTCTGTTTTGATCCAGTAGTTTTTGAAGAGAACACAAAACTTACCGCTCCAGGTCTGGGTTCTGGTACTGGGTGGTTGTAAGTGTACCACTGCTGCGTCTCACGATTAACTTCCCGGTAACGTCCATTAAACGCCTCTTCGACCTGGTCCATAGTGAACGCACATACAGCTGAGCTGCCTGAAGCACCTTTGTACCTGCGCACACAAACACAACAATCATTACAATTGATCTGCATATGCATAATCACATGCAAACCAAACCAAGCACACAGACAGACCTTCCATAAAATAACAATCCCACTGACACACATCTTTAAGAGTAACAGCAGCTCAAAAATCTAACTGCACACAAAATGCAAAAAATGTCTCATTTAACCTCAGACATAACAGGTGCGTAGGCGGACACAAGAGGGAGGCTATTCTGAGCATCTGCAATCTCGCTGACATCTCCTGCCTGTCCTGTATCTTTTGCCCCTATGTTAATGCACTCAATCAATACCCACAACTCCTACGCTAAGCACCGCAAAAGCAGTCTGGTTGAGTGCCAGGCAGGGTTCAATAACAGAAATGAAAGCTGAATTTCTAAAAGGTTTACAAAGGAACACAAACATAGCTACAACTATACGCACTATGTTATCTGTATACTAAATGGCTTTTCAGGTGATATACGTTACCATTGTGAGGTGAAGACTCCATAAAACACAGTACTCTTCCAGGCCTCTTTGCTGGGGGTCAGTACAAACATGTCCTGGATGATGTTGAAAGGGAACCCATCGTCAGGTAGTGAACAAAGGAGCTGCGCTTTCAGAAAAGTTGTCCATTTCTTCTGAAGAACCCTCTCTCCACCTTTGTCACCCTGTGACAATACATACAGATCAGGGTTATTTTTGTATCATTTGTATATACTGTTATACTGTTGTAGTATTTTTTAATATTCTAAATTAGGTTTTAGGCTGCTCAAATGGCAGCATACAACTGTAGCAATGCAAAGTCCTAGAAAACACACAAACACCGGCAAAATGTATACTCTGAAGTTGTTTCAGAGATTGCCATGAATGTGAATGTGAAGTGAGGAAATGTGCAATTACTTGTTATGAGCACTTCTGACCACAAGAGGGAACTTAGTAACTGCTGTCGATGCCAACAAACCGATGCAGCCAATGGAAATGCTGATCATAATGGCAGCATTCAATTAAATCTGTTACATATTCTATTACATAAAGACTTAGAACTGGACAAGGACCGCAGCTTCTATCACATGTTGTGCATTAAGGCTCAGTACAACAATGCGTTTTTGTGATTGGGGCCCTGAGGGTTGTAAGGGCTTTAACTTTGGTACTTCTGAGTCCCTTAAAACAAAACAGGCAGTATAATTCAAGGGCTTTAATGTCTATCAGAAGAAAAAACTTACTCCTTAGTGGGCAATGTTATGGATCTGTTTTGCATTTTAACATATATAACATACAGTAATGTTCTGTTTATGTTAACGTATATAAAGGCAGAACTAATCATTTTTAGCATAATAACTTACAGAATATGCATGCAGCTAACCAGAAATCTCTCACCAGCTGTACCTCAGTTTATTTTAATTAATGAGATGAAAACAACGAAAGAAAATAAGGAAATTATGTAACTAATTCTTGGATTACCAAAGACAATTGCTTAATCTAATATTGACTAGACTTCAACTTCTCCCTTATCATGCTTTCATTTTAAGGAAAAGGTATAGTGGAAATTACAAAAATGAAGGGAGGTTGGGTAATAAACCTTATGACACAGGTAACGAAAAACAAAGCCACACCATGAATCAACTAAATATTTTTGTTTTTCACAGCAGCTTTATATTAGTGTCAACCCTCGCTCAAGCAGAACGTCATACTGAACAGCTGAACAAATAAATGGACAGAGAGATAAAATCAAAGACAAGAATAGAAAGAGACGTTTGGGCAGAGAACAGGGCAGAGAAATGTGAAATTCACAAATGTGAAGTACAGAGAAATTCACAAATGTGAAGTACAAATGGCCTGAACGACAGCCAGAGGTACGTAAAACAGAGGTCCCAATAGCACCATATTTATTCATCCATCTCAGCAACTCTCCAAAGAAAATGAGCTTTCCTCTAATTATAATATTATTGTAATCCAGCACGCAGGACAACACCTTCCCCTATCAGCAGGACGGCAACAGCACATTCCAATAAAATCTTTTAAAGGGAAACTCCCACCCATCATTGAACAGCAGAGTTTAGAACAGCTGAGGGCTGAGTTAAGAGCCATTCATACCAAGAATGAAAACTATAAAGATAACTATATTAGAGCCCACACCAACGCATGGTAACATTCTGTTTATTATAAGTTTGTACACAGTTTTGACGTCTGTGGCTTTAAATGCTTAAGCTCGAATTGAGCGCTTTCTGATTGGTTGTCAATGTTTTTAACTTTCATCAGCTAGAATTTTTTTTTTCTTGTTTCTTGTCTATAGTTAGGTGTGTGAACATCCCTATTTTTATAGAATTATATATATATATATATATATATATATATATATATACATATATATATGCACCTTTCAAAGCTTTGCTCAGTAGGAACTGAGTTGCCATGTATGCAGCAGCTTCCACATATGCCATTCATTTTAAAATTGAAATGAAAGGATTACAGCTTCTGCTCATTGTCTCATTGTCATTCTGAGTGTAAATGATATGGTACGCTTTCAAACGCAAACCCCAGGCGCTATTCAGAAAGAATCTTAAAACAATAAGGAACTGTTGCAGTACGTAAATGGATAATCTTACATGCATCACAGTTTCCACTGGAATTTGACATGGTCATCTGTGCAAAAGTGCACCAATATCCATATTATACTGACACTTGATTAAGTTAGGAGTCAAAAAGAGAAGAAACCGAAATATAGAGAGCACAGCGGAATTTAAATCATTCTCGGACTTCAAAAGCAAGACGAGAAGGCAAATTAATCTTGCAGATGTTTCACTCTGCTCATGCACCATTCAGAACAGACAGGGTCAGTGCTTTAACCCAACTGGCAACGTGGAGACTGGCAACGTAGAGAATCTCTTA